TGTCCTGGCAGAGCTTGGGAGATGGATTTGAATCTAATCCAATTTTTCCTCCAGACCATGTTGGCTTTATACAGAGCTGAAGAGAAAAACACAACCTCATGCCCCTGTCCAGCTTGACACTCACCATGATTTGCAGAACCATATATTGTACTTTATGGGTAACATGAAAGAATTTTCTTAATAACAGAAAAGAGAGCTTCAGTTGCTAAAGAGCTGGTTGGTAGCAGACATGCTTCTCAACTTGTGCACCATCATTTTCCCACTAAAGGCTTAAGTACCGTCCTGTAGTCAGCTGGCCTTCCTCGTGCTGCCAGTGGTGATGCATCTGTCCCTGGGTGTTTGGAACCAGCTGCTGATTTGCATGTGCTGGCCCCTTTGCTGTTTGCCCAACTGCAGTAAGTAGTTTTTGGCGTGGGAATGAGAACACTTCTGTCTGCTCTGCAGAAAGCAGGGATAAATGAGAGGTCTGTCTGTACCCCCTTCTCACCTCATCATCCTGCCTGCCAGGCAGCCAGGACGTAAGCATGGAGTGCCTGGCCAAAGTGGAAGAAAAAGTTAGACAAAACTTACCGTGAGCGCTGTTTCCATCATGCATATTGTCCCGTGGTTGAGTCCTCATACTGAAACTGAAACGGAACAGCAGCTCTCGGTGGGTACTGTACATTTACCATTGGATTTGTGTCTTCAGATAGTTCCAAAATGAGTCAAGGTGAAAACAGCCTATGGTACTTCATGTTTTAGATACTTCATGTTTTAGATGTATCTGTTACATTCACTGTACGTAGCAATTCATACTGTAAAACACATATTCTGTCTTCCAAAGCAGCAATGCTGAATATGAGTGCTTGGCAAGATTCAAGGTTGGCTACATCTCTTCAAAAATCAAAGTTGTAACCCCACCAGAAGTTTGTGGTCAGATGCAAATACCACTGGCTGTGTAGTTTTACGTGCAGAAGGTTATACTAGGTGAGCAGAGCACTCAGTATTTCCAACCTCAAGTTTCCTGAGGAGTTCACTGTCAAAAAGAGTGAACTCTTTAGAGACCATCAGTTTATCACCTCTTCAATGGAACAATACATTATACTGCATGCATGTGTGTATGTCTACCTGTGTAAGTGCTTGACCAAACCTAAACAAGTTGGCTACTTCAAGGTGTAAATTACCCCATCAGCCCCTCTTCATTGTACTCTTTTTGCTGGATAAAAATATAAAGGAAGAGAGTGGATTGCTTCTGCAGTACAGATGGTTATCAGCTTGTGCCCTGCAACATGAGAATTGATAGCTCTCATCATTTACAAGGTAGATAGCTCAAGAGGTGTTAGAAAAAGGACTTCAGTGAGGAAAAAGCAGCAGACGTAGATAATCTATTAAAGGCACTTTCTAGCCTGTGGCACTAGAAAGGTGACCACTAATTTTGCTCTCTGTTTAATGTATATGAAGCTGTCAGATTATAAACATGTCTATAAATCGTTGTATTTTACCCTGCTGGAGGTGGTGCTTGGAAGCTGTCAGAAGACAGGCTAGAGAAGGGACCTCTCAGAGACAGATTTTGATGGTTTATGTGGCTTTAGCTAACCTGCTTTCAGCTACTAAGTTCAAGAAGTTTTTGCTGGTTATTTTTCGCTAAACAGGTAGGGAGACCAAGGTTCAGAATGCTTGCCAGATTTCGTCCAGCAGAGCAGCAGCAGAGATGGGAGCAGAGCCAAGTCTGACTCCCAGGTCACAATTTACCCTCTGAAGTCTGTGGTGAATCTAGCTACCAAGAGGGCAGACTGGGAGAGAGGCATCATCCCCCATGTCTGATCCACACCTACCAACGGCAGCAAAGCCTTCACACTGATTCCAACAGTGAGTTCAGCAGTCAAAACTCTGCCCTCATTTTGTAGCACAGCGCTCGTTTTCTGCTTGGTAAATATCTTTGTTGGCTGAAGACAATGCTGTTAGCTTTCACAGAGAATAAAACTGGAGAGATAAAAAGAACCTATTTTCTTCCACTGTGTGCATGACAATAAAAGAGAAGATGGAGAGGGGAAAATAAGAAACAGCATCTAAAAAGAAAAATGTAAGTGGGATTAATTTTTCTTTCATGGAGAGTACAGGAAAACATTTTCAGGACCTACTGATAGCTATGTGTGCTGTACTATAAAATCCCTTCAGCTGCAAAGCCAACCCTCTCATGCCCTTGTTTTCAGAAGCCCAACTGCTTCTTTTTAAGAAAGGGCAAAGGAGGTGGAATATCAGTTTAGTAAATGCTGTACTGCACACGAAAGAATTACTTTTTGAATGGTAGTTTCCGAAGCACTTTTAACACCACCTGCCTGCACCCCCAGAACAGCCTCCTCCAATGACCGAACTGGTTAGGCCTCACAAAGCAAGTGGGCATGGAGTGCAGGCAGGCAGCTAAAGAGAAGCTTTGGAAGAGACGAAACTTCCCAGGAAAACAGCAGAGCCGGAAGAGAGGGAAATGGGAGAAGAGGTGATCAGTCTAGGGAAAAGCTGTGAACTTACGTTATGGCACTTCGTATCTTCCAGTCACAATGTGTTTGTAAGTAACACCCGCGGTAGTTAGTGACAGCCAAGCTGAACTAGGCGGCCTGCTTGCTGGTCCCCAGTAACTAGAAGCCAAATGGTTCTAGGTCATACTATACTGGAGCTTTTCTCATGAGCTTCAGAGGTGCTGCTGAAACCCAGCAGAGACCTGATTTGCAGTGTGAACTTTTGGGTCTGTTCCAGAGTTGCCATGTGGTGGTCCCAGTCACTGTAGCTTATTTGGCTGTTATGGGTCTAGTGATCAATCCAAACCTCTCTTTAGACATGCTATTTTTGTATTAGTTGAATGGAAGGGGAAAACACACTGTCACCCTTTTGTTCCTCATCTTGTGAAGTACATGTCAGAAATCAAGTTAGATTTCCATGTGTTAGTTTTAGGCAGTTTGTCACTTGCATGTCATGGCAAGGTGGGAGACTAAAGAAACCATGCATGAGCATTTCAAGCACTCCTCAGATGGGCTTGTAAAATCTTTCATGTATTGTGGTCTGGCTGTATCACAGCTGACTTCTTTCTCTTTTAACTGCAGTCAGTATACATGCTGCCCAGCAGTGGCATGGGGTCTGGAGTGTTTTCTGCAGGAATAGCCCTGTAGTCAGTGAAAGATGGGCCTCATGCTCGCATTTTAGATGGTGGTTTCCATGTCTCTGAGCAGGTCTACACCTCACCCCACTCCCTATAAAAAGAAAGGTCTTGCAGAAAACTCTGACCCCAATAATCAGACCCTAATTCACTGGGGGGGAAGAAGAATTTAAGTGCTTCTTGAGTAAATAAATAAATGCTACTTCTTGTTCCTGTGTGGCACATAATACAGTGCTTAAGGGGCAGTTGAAAGCCAGTGGAAATTCTTGCTGCTGCCATGCAGACGTCCATTCCTTAGGTCAGCTCTGACCCATTCGCAGGCTTGATCTCAGTTCCTTTTCTGACTGAGATTCAGTTCTGCATGCAGCTGTGGCTCTGGGACTTTCCAAAGCTGCTGTCTGGGAATCTGGTATAGCAGCAGAGTGCAATTCACTGCATGTGACCTCTTGCTGAAACAGAAAATAGGGTTGCCTATCTATTAAAGAGGTAAACCCCAAAACAAAACAGTGGTACAACTCTCCCAGGTTTCTTTTAGTGCTTCATAGGAGGAGGGTAATCAGATCTCAGAGAATGTTGTGCCAGGAAGGAAATTTCTTCCCGTGTGCAGCATACAATCAGCCAGGTGCAATATGAGGAAGGAAGGTTCATCTTGCTCTGAAGCGTAAGGTATTAGCCCCTGCCAGAGGCTGTGTACCAGAGATCTGATCAGATACAGCAAATTTTGTGTTCCTATGCACAGTGTGAAGCTTTGTAGCAAGTCAAACAATGAGTCATCTCATGAGGGGGAAAGGAAAAGAAAGCTTTTATCTCCCAATGGGTTGGAGATAATCTCTCTACCTGGGTATAAACAGCTCTTCACCCTGCTGCCTTCTCTCCCCAGGGAGGAAGCTATTTTAGCTTTTTCTGTAAAACAGATACTGAATTGTCACACCTCGCAGGCTGATCTGCCTGGGCCTAGTAAAGGTAGCAGGCAAAGGTGTTTGACTTTCATGGTACTTTGGTTGGGCCCCTGTGAGTAAACACAGTAGTCTAGGCTGTATATGCTGTAAGAGCTGGCTGGGAGAGATGGAGTGCTAGATTTTCTTTCTTCTCTCTGTGCCCATACTGAACATAGCTGCAATTTTGCTATAAAATGGAGCACCACTCTTCTATGGACAGAGTTACGTTGGTAATATTTTATAGCTATACAGGAAACATAAGCTAAAGCAGTGCTAAAGATGCCACAGCCTCAGCACTTCTGTTCCTCTCCAGTGTGGGAATAACACCTGCTAGCACAATAGCATCTGCAGGAGTGGTGGGCCAGTCTGAATACACCTTTCTCAACTGTACCCATACTGATAACCACTTGCATTAGTAGCCCTTCTTTAGAGACCCCAGCCACCTAGAAGAATGTATAGCCATAGCTCCCTGACATCTGCCAGGTGAGCTATTATTCTTCATCAATGACTTTACAAGGGGCATGAGGAGAGAGCATACCTCTGTTCTAGGAAAGGATACACACCAAGGATGGATGGGGTCAAGGACTTTGCCTCCTGACTGCTCTGCCCCTCAGAAGCAGCAGTGGGAAGAAAGTTCCATTTCACAGGGGAAACCTGGAATGGAATGATGTCCTAGAAGCTTTTTTCAGGATGTTGAGGTAGTTCTTGTTTCTCAGTATGTCACAGATAAACCAAGGTGCCTAAACTAATGAAGTATTTCACAGTCCAGTGCTTAGAGTATTTCTGTGTCAACATGAAATCCCTTTCCCGTACCTTACCCTGAGACTTTGCATGTTATGGTGTGGGGAGAAAGGAGGATTCATTGATGTTTGTCTGTATTCCCATGCCTTGTCTCAATTTAGTAACAAAATTGTGGTTTCTTCCTGCCATAGGTTTGCAGCCTGTTTACTGGAGCAGGGATGATGTGGCACAGTGGCTCAGGTGGGCAGAGAAAGAGTTTTCCTTGAGGCCGATTGAGAGCAGCACTTTTGAGATGAATGGCAAGGCTCTGCTGCTTCTGACCAAAGAGGACTTTCGATACCGGTCTCCTCATTCAGGTAAGGATTATTGACAGAAGCTGTGACTGAAAAGAGGGAGGAAGCTGCCAAGAAATCTGGAAAAGATCAGAGCAGGAAATGGTCACATTTGTTGGCGTGGACTGGGTGAGGGAAGAGAGGACAGAAACACATTGTATGGGGCAAGGACAGAACGGGCAAGGAGGGAATGAAACCCTGATACACCTGAGTTGTAAGCAAATTTGAATGCAAGTTCAAACCTAAACATCAAGCCCATTTCTAGTTAAACCTCCCTATAAAAGTCCCAGAAAGCAACCTTCTCTGGCAGCACTTCGTGACATTTGCTTTTCCCTGTAAAGGCTTATCTTTTCACAGACCCAGCTACAGCAGGAAGTTAACCAAATGCTCCAGCCTCTTAAAGAAGCCCATATTAGCATTTTGCCTCACAGTTGGCTTGGCTGGTGTGCTGCTAAAAGTGACTGCAAAACTCCTCCCTGGGGAACCCTTCCTCTGTTTCACAGCCCCTGTGGGCTTTACTTTACCTTATTCTCTCATCTTGTGCTGGAGTCCAGCCCAAGGCACAGCACAAACAGGTGTGTGAATCAGTCTGCTTATTGCTCAAATTATGTCTTCATTTATTCACAAAGAAGATGTAGAAACGTGTATATTGCCTGCCTGTATTTATATCCCCTGGGGTCTGTCTGCTCCAGTTTCACAGGCAGAGTAAGCTTCTGCCCTCCTTTGTCAGGGATGTTTAACTAAATGTGATTTGTGAGCTTTTGTTTTGTGACCATACAGGGTACTCCTGTTAAACGTAAAGGCTCATAAGTCTGTCACCATAGGTGATCAAAGAGTTTGGACCAAGCAGTGACAGAATTGCTGTGAGGAGGCTCACTAGGTGCAGAAGTACAGCTGGTGCTGCTCGGATCCAGCTGATAAACAAGCCATGGCACTAATTCTGCACCAAGCTGCTTGGCAACTCAATGGAATGCATCCCCCCAACCATCCTCCTGTGGAATCTGTCTCACAAACTCTGGCTTATGTTTAGTGCATACAAAGTTTTATACGCCTGTACTTCAAATCCAGGACTAATTTTGTATGGAAGGAAATGCCAAACATTAATGTTTATTGACAGTGTAATGAAGTAGTGAAAACTGATGCCTAGAAGCTTTGAATTGTTTCATTAGAAAATTAGCCCTGCTAAAGGCAAAAGCATTGAAAGTAGGGATGTGGACCAGGAGTCTAAGGGATACTTTCATGTATCCTGCCTGCAGCTCCCCTTATCATCCCAGTGCCTTGCTGCCTGCAAGTTATGCCTGTGCTCTTCCCCTTGTATGCTGTGAGGGCACTTGAAATTAGTAGGATTAAAATGTTTGTAGGCTGGAAATAGAGTGTTCCCAGAGAAGAGCCTTTGGCTTTCAAAGCCTCCCTTTATGCAGAAGGTTAAGCTCTGATTTTTCTACATTTGTAATGGAATAACCAAACTAAAGACTTCCTCCTTTGCTTTTTCTTTCCTTCTTCTCTCCAGGTATTTCCCACTGATAATAAACCTTTTAGAGGACATCTGAGTCAGTCTCTAAAAATTCAGATGACTGTAGGTAAAGGGATGTTACCTCAGCATTTCCTAGATTATTAACTGTGTGTGAAATTTAAGAACTATGAAATAATGTTTGCATAGAGGCATTAAGTTTTTCAAGATTGTAGATGCATAAAAGCTGTACCCTTGTCCCTCATGGCTAAACCAGAAGAACCGCATCTGCTCCCCAGAACAGTCCTAGCAATAAAGTGGGCTCACAGCCCCACAGCTATTCTCCTGTTTAGGGCAGGCCAGGTAAAGGAGGCAGCAGAGGAAGGAGACTGAGGAATGCTTTTCACCTTCTTAACTACCATTATTGCATCTGGCTGGTGCAGAAACATAACCGTTTTGTTAGGTAAAAAAAATAAAGTTAGCCAGGTTTATGGATGTTTCACAAGTCTGTCAGGCCAAATCAAAAGAGGTACAAACTTACTACCTTGTTGCTTGGAGTGTTACAGCACTAGTTATGATATTATGCCACTGTTGCATTCAAGGATGCAAATTATGTGGTAAAATCACTTTTTAGCCTTTCATGTACTAAACATGGAAAAGGTAACTGAGTTCTTGAGGCTTTGTTTTTAAGTAGATTTTCAGGTATTGCAATCACCTTTTAAAAATGCCCTAAAGTCACTGCTGAGACAGTAAAAGCATCCAAGATGTTAAAAATAAAGGAAGCTGAATCATGGAAAGCAGGATGGCTTTAACTGTTTAATGCTATTCACTGAACTTTCCCACAAGTAGAGTACTGGGAATTCATAGAGACAAGGGACAAATGGCACACAGCTTACAATTCCACAGAAACAGCTACTGAAAAAGAGCCCTACACTTGAGAAAACCCTCCCAGAGAATCCGAGGTTCCCTAAGTGAAACTTCACAGAGTTCTTTTTCAAGTTGTATGCTACTGCTGCAGCCTGTTCCTGTGTAACGTGAGCAGTGACAAAGAGAGCAAGCAGAATTAAAAGCTCAGACTTCTAGCCCTTTGTTGTACATTTTCACTTTGAAATGTGCAACCAGTTGCATCAGACAAAACGTAGAAGTACTTAGGGTGTTACACAGATGATGTTGGAAGGACATCAGTACAAGATGTGATACATAAAAAGACAGAAAATAAGCAGTTTGTCCATTGGTCTCCTAGATGTTGCAGTCATACGTTCCACTGAGGAAAGATACAACAATTCTGGTGCGAGGGAATTGGGGAGCGCGGGGGAAACAAGAAATAGCCTTGCCTGCAGCCCAGAAAGAAGCAGCATCTGGATCATTTCACACAAGGTGCAGTGCAATTTACTGCAGGCATTTCCATGGAAGAGTAGTACAGTAGCAACTCACGGACTGTATTCGCCCATGCAGAACAGCAAGTCCACTGCGTTTTGTTCCTTAATCCGCCTTACATTCCTGGTCTAATAGTGCCTCTTGAAGTGAGCTCCATACAGGTTCTAGACGGTAGAAGTAACTACCTTTGGGATCATCTGGGCTTTTCAGAAGTCCAAACCATGACACCAGGAGTGCCGTAGAGAAGTTCCTGAGGCAGCAATGGCACTCAAGTATCTCCAGGAGCTGTCACCATAGCAAAGGTGCTCAGGATAAGTAAATCTCACCATTCTTTTAAGTCTTTGAGTCCATCCCAAAGTAACTTCTGCAAGTGAAAGTTCTTCTTCCTGTGGATTTCCTAGAATGGAATATCTTAGTAGCACCCTGCCTCTGGCCTTGCAGCTTTACAACATCTTCTGTGTCCTCCCCCCATAAAGTGTAAATTGTTCAGTAATTAACTAAAAGGACCATCTTTGCTCCCAGCAGCTCACTGCATAAGTCATGGGCTCTAAGAATTCTGTGTCCTAAGGTGTCTGTCTAAAAAACTGAGGCTGTGAGGAGGCGGGACACTGAGCTAACCACTGCTTGTAAAGGTTTGGATCTCTTGGATGGGCAGTCATGTAGCCTGAAAAAGACTGTGCTTTGGGGTAGTAAAAGCTGTGTCTTGTCATTCTCCCATTTTTCCACAGTCACACACAGAGGCATGATGTGCAGCTTTGTTTTTTCTTTTTTTTCCTTTCAGGGAAGAACCTTGCAAATCAGTGAAATGTAGGATTTTACTGCAAGCATTTTGGGGTCTGAAAATAGCACCCAGGAGCCATGAATTCATGCATCAGATGGCTAAATGAGTCTTCTCAGCAGTATGTAGGTTTTCATTTCCTTTTTCCTGCTGTTTGTCTTTCAGGTGATGTTTTGTATGAACTCCTTCAGCATATCCTGAAGCAAAGGAAAGCTCGTATGCTCTTCACACCTTTCTTCCACCCTGGGAACTCAATCCATGCTCAGCCCGAGGTCATCTTACACCAGAATCACGATGAAGGTAATTCTGTCTCATTCTTATGGGAGCTGCCATTATAGAGGCAAGTAGGGTAAAACTGTGAGGAATTATGTCATTTTCTTGCTCCAAAGTTACTTAAATAAAATTACTGTCCTCCCTTTGTCTCCATAGCTTTAGAACAATCAACTGGTCTAGGAAGTCAGCCATTCATTCTCCATTTATCTTCTGTTGTTTTGTCCTGTTTCCAGAGCCTGCTTAAAAGCTATGCCAGATGCAGATTAAAAAAATCTGGCATAGAAAAGAAAGTTTTATTGACCCCATTGATTCCTTTTTCCTCATTACCAATTAGGTAGACAAAGACGCTGGGACTTTTGGTACTCAGGAGATGCAACTAAATGTAATTGTTTGCAGAGCAAGGGAGAAAGAAGGTAGCCTCCGAGAGGAATATCTAAATCAAAGTCACTTCAACTGACAGTCTGTCATCACATTGTGCCAGAGTTCCGAGCACTGAGCCCGTCATGTTGCGCAGCTTTTGAGCTGATTGAGCAATTCATGTTTAGAGAAGGGTTTTTTTTTCTGTAGGTTTTCTCTCATTCTTACTATCAGAATTACTTGCTTAGGTTATTAGTTAACCTTCTAGTAATGTCCACACGTACCATGGCTGTTAGAGGTGCTGAAGAAAGGATAGGTATATTTGTGGAACAGATTTAGGATTCCTCTACTCATTATTAGTGCAGATCAAAATGCAAGTCTGCTTCCTTTAATGGAAACATTAAGGCTTTATTTTCTTTTAAAATATACACGCTAAAATAATTTTTAGTTTTTTCCAATAACAGAAAAAATAGTAAGCCTAAGCCTTTTAAAAGGTCCCTTCCATGAAAGCATGAGGCCGAATTTACTTTTTCAATTAAAAAAAACCAAAAGAAACCTCTAGAAAAAAGCAGTGTTATTCCTTTTTCAAGTAAACAGGAGAATAGAAGTGAGTTAGGATATTGCCCTAGTCTCTGCTAACTGGAAAAAAGATGCACAGATCATTTGAAGATTCAACAGGAGACTGCAAGAGAAGATTCAGAGATACTGTCAGACCTGGACAAGTTGCCCACAGCCAGCCTGCCCAAGCCAGAATCAAATGACACCAGCAAACCTTTGAGATCAAGCCAAGAGCAGAACAGCAGCAGGTGGGATAAGGATGCTCCAAAGTGTTTCCACACAGCTGTGTAAATATTTCAGATTAGAAGAGGGTGCTACAGGTCAGGATGAAGTTGAATTGGCAGAGTTGTGCAAGATACAGTTGCCTGGTGTATTAAGATAGGCACTTCCAGAGACCTTTAGTAAAAATCTCCATTTTTTGCTGAAGCTTGGCATTCACCCACAAGTGTTCCCTCTTTAAATTTCAAACACAAATGCTAGCTGCCCTCTCAGACACCCCTACATTAAAGATACAGAGCAACTTTCACTCTAGAGAGGATCTCACAGGCATGTTGAGTTGGCCTTTATGTGTGTCACATAAAACCTAAGTCCTTTGCAGTTTAGTCCAACTTAAGTCAGAACACAGGATGATTAAGAAATTACTTTGATTTCTCCTGCACACTGCTCTGGCTGCTGATAGTACCACTGATTTTGTTTAAAAAACTCTGTCCTAGTCCTTAAAACTTTTCTTTATAATTGCAAAAAATCAGTTCTTGTTTTGCTGTGAGAGGAGCTTCAAAATAAGCAGAAGAAACTACAGCTTCAATCAGACCATATCTATGCCAAGAATTTATAGGCAGGTGAATTTAGTTATTTTTGCATTTTGACACTCCTTCTTTCTTCTTGTTTCACAGAGTCACTTGGGAGAAACTAGCACAATTAAGTTTACCATTTTCCATCAGCAGAATGCAGCTTAGTAAAAAAAGAATGAATGTGAGAAGCAGAGCTTAACCCTGCTTAACTCACAAGTTGTAACACAGGTGTCAATTGGTACAATTTTGAGTGGTTAAACTTCATAGGTGATGGATCTTTTTTAGAATCCCTCCTTACTCCAGTGATCTTTTCCATTTTCTTCTACTGGCTCTTTTGCCCATTTCCTAATAGCCTTTGGATCCAGCTTCAAAATGCTTTCATTACAAGCTAGTTAATCCAGAATCAGGTGAGACCAACATTTGCATCTAGTAGCTTTTTACTAGCTTAAGCAAAGTGGGTTTGACTGTGAAATCAATTAACAATGGTGCGGGGTATCTCTGAGATGCATTGGCATTGGCTTGAAATCTGTGCTGTGGGCATTAGCCTCTGTCCCTGTTAGAGGGATGAGCAATCGAGAGTGAATTACCTAATTCTCCAGTGGTCCTTCTGACACAGCACTGAGTCATTTGATGGGATGCCATACAGGAAGCTCACACTGTCATTCCCTGCACTTCTTTTGTGGGTAAGGGAAGAGTGCTAATTGTCATGCCAGCAACTGCTTACTCTCAGAGTGAATGCAGCCCTACCCATCCCTATATGGATCAGATAGGTCAGCAGTTTTCCTGGGAGCTGAATTCCTTTTCTCAGCTTTCTCTTCAAGCAAAGAGTGTTGGTCACTCAGAATGAAGAGTCAGGCTAATGAGTGAATCTGTTCCTATTGTACTCGACTTCCAGCCATCAGATGTGCCAAGGAATGAATGTGATGAGGTTTTTATTCTGTTCAGGGTCATTTGTGGCAGTGGAACTGCTTGGAGCTGGGTTTGAATTGTTCTATGGTAAAAAGCAGTTTTGACCATAAGGAGATTCTTTAGTTAAGTATTTAAAGAGAAGGATCTTGGAGGAAAGTGAACGCTAGTGTGTATCCATTTGTGGTTATTCTTCTTGCTGCTTTTTAAAGAGTTCTTGGTCCCTACCTTCTCTCCTGTCCCGGTTCAGAATCACCATGGTTTGGAAGCAGACAGATAGGTCTGCTTCCATTTGGAGCTTCTCAGAGCCAGCTAATGTTTGCAGAGAGCTTGGTGGAAAGCACATCAAGGCATTCCTTTCTGCTTTCAAGATAGCTGCTCCCACCAGCCAAGGCACTTTAAGTAAGTAGGACAACCAATACAATATTCTGGTCTACATTTACAGACCAAGAATGATGACCGTGCATTTGAATGTACAGTGATGGGTGTGGATGGTCTGTAGAAGATAAGGCACTGAGTAAGACTGGGGGGTTAGTTTTCTTTCTACTGTGGCAAAGAAAGGAGACTTTAAGAAGACAGCCACAGAGGTATGTACAGTTGTGAATTAATTCCTCTTTGGACACATTTGGGCTATCCCACATTAGCTGGCCACATTGTATTTAAACTGGTTGGGTTAAACGAAGAATAATATATAACTCTGGAGTCTCATGTCCTCCACCTGTTTCACTGTGAGTACCTTAAATAGCTGTACACATGCATTTTTCTTGTCTGGGACCACAAGTGTGTGAGATAAGTATTCTGGAGCCATGTAGCTTCTGCCTAAAATCTCAGGGGTTTGTGCTGACTTTAGTACACTTGTATAGATGAACAGCCAGTCGAGTAGGCAAAAGGATTGGTGCCATGTCACTGCCTGGCTCTACATTTTCTCAGATCTAGAGTTTCTGGTCAGGCCTCTCCCTGGGTAAGTGATGAGCCTTCTGATGCCTGGCCGGGTTCTAGGTCAGTGGGAGCCCTTGGGTCTTCATCTCAACAGGGTCTTCAACGAGTATCACTGCTTCGACAAGAGAACAAGAGAATCTTTAAAGAGGATCAGAACAAAAAGAGTGAACAAACAGGCAGCCACAAATAGGCAGCTACTTGTTTGACATGTATGCAGCAGTTTCCTTCTCTTACCATCCAAGGCTTTCGATAAACAGCAGTGAAATTTGATCTTTGTTTTTCAGGTAAAAACCTGTTAGTCACTGTGCTCTGGTGGTGTTTTCCTCTTTGTCAGTAATTTCTCTAGTCAAAATTGATGGCCTTAGCTAACTGAAAGTTTGCACTGTTTATGTCAAGCATTTCAGTTTGTACTGTTTATGTCAAGCATTTCAGTTTGTGAGAGGATTGTTAGTATGTAAAGATGCTGACCTAGAACCCTGACTTATCTCCCCTCTACTGTTAAGGATCACATCTGGGGAAGTACACTCATGCAGAAGTGATTCTAGAAGTGACTCCTGGGACAATCCATCAGTAGACAGCACATAGTAAAACAAGGTGCAAATATCCCTATTTGATGGTACATGCTGTTAATATCAAGATGGATAAAATTTAGCTAGTGTTTCACAAAGAGCTTCCTATCAGTGGGGTTTTTGTACATAACCCACTCCGTATTTCAGACTAAGATATTCTCCACCTTGACGCAAGCTTCTAACATCTCAAACTTAGTACCCAGTATTTTCCTGGAGACATTTTCCTTTTTTATCTCTTGCCATCTACCTTACAGTGCTCATCATGGTAGAATAACAGGAGCCACATGTAGAGACAGGAATGGCAGGAGGTAAGTTTCAAAGCATTTGCACAGAAACACAGTGCAGCTGAATCAGATCTTACTTTCTTTACGTGTGTTCCAGTCAACTACTCAAAATGGGATTTCTCTTAACACGTTTCCCCAGGAACTACCTTTATGTGGTGGTGGAAGAAGATTATTTTCATGGTGCTGATCTCATTCTGTGTAGTAATAACTGTATCTGCATTTATATGGTGTTTTTCTGGGCCTCTGTAAGTCACACAAATAAAAACATTTCCAAGCTGACAAGCAGTAAGTCAACAAGCAAACATTTCCAAGCAGTACCCATTAAGTCCAGCCAGTAGTGTGACATTTAGATCCTACACCTGATCTGTATTGTTTTTTTCCTCCACAGATAACTTTGTCCAGAGGCCCTCAAGACCACCCACAGAAACGGTCCACCACAACCCCCCAACCATTGAACTGTTGCATCGTTCTAGATCACCCATCACCAACAACCACCGTCCGTCACCAGATCCCGATCAGCGGCCACTGAAGTCCCCTATGGACAGCACTATCCGTCGCCTTTCCCCAGCTGACAGGGTGCCAGGGATAAGGCATCAGCACGAGAACAGCCAGCAGGAGCCCTATCCTCTCTCAGTGTCCCCAGTAGAAAACAACCACTGCCCACCTCATTCCGAGGTACTCCAGAAGCCCTCCAGCCCTCGCCAGGAGAACACCAGGGTCATCCAGCTGATGCCCAGCCCTATTATGCATCCTTTGATACTGAACCCCAGGCACTCCGATTTCAAACCACCAAGGTTGTCTGAGGATGGGCTTCACAGGGAGGTAAAGCCAATCAACTTATCCCACCGAGAAGAGTTAGCTTATATGAACCACATCATGGTGTCTGTATCCCCTCCTGAGGACCATGCGATGCCAATTGGAAGAATAGCAGGTGAGTGACATTCTGTAGGCTACACTAAAGCTGATGCTTTTCATTCATACCTAACCATGCTGGGTATTAAGAGTTTGCCACTCTGTGACCTCAGGAGTTTACTGGCATTCTACAAGTTTCACCACATCTGTGGTTTAGACAGTTAAATATGATTAAGCCAGTTTTGTGGCAGGTAAGCAGAGGTGCAGAGTGACTTGCTTGTGACCACAGAATACGTAATTGGTATTGAAACATTTGTGTCCTGACACTGACTGTCTCTCTACCCACTAGCAAACCATTTCTTTCCCAAGATACCTATCTCCAAAACTTTGCCCTGCAAAGAGGTAGTTTTCCAAGAGTTGCATTCACGTTGATATCCAGTCTTATGGAAAGGAAAAAGTCCTCTGTTTGTGGCCTTTGAGATAAGGCACTGTCAAGCCCACTATTATGGAGATGGTGAGACTCATACTGCCTCAGAGTCCTGTCTTTCCTGTGCTTCTCACACTAGGATTGTCCCCATTTTAGAGAAACAAGGTTGCCTTTGTCCCCTACAAACCACAGGCATTGTCTCACTTTTGTTATCATAAATAACTGACATCACAACAGCTGAATCAGGAAGCTGAGGTTACAGAAAGTGTTTTTTGTACTTGAAAGGGAACTGTAAATAGGTAGGGAAAGGGGGAATGGGAATCCAGCCACTTCAGAAATAATGCTGAATGCTCCGGTAACCAGTGTCTTAGGAGAGATGTGAGTATGCACCACACCCAAAAACATTCCATGCATTTATGTCAGCAGTGAGCCAATGTGATACCCAGCTGCTTTGGGGTATTACACATGTCCAAAGAGGTACTTTTTAAAACACCTTGTTCTTTGTTGTCCTTACATGCCTTAAATTTGTTACAGATGTGGTGCTGCCTTAGCTTTAATGAAGAAGACCTTTTATTTTCGTAAGACTTACCACTTTAAATACAAAAGGTACATATCTCACCATCTAGTCAACCATCAAACACAGCAAGAGCTATGCTCATTTCAAGTAATAGAGATAGGTAACAAAAATTAATCTTTTGATATTTTTGCCTGGATGACATTTGTCTCTCTCCATTTGATTGTTATTGCCCACACTATTCTCGGCAAGCTAAGAAATGTACTTAATGTTACGGCAGAGAAGATACACTACTGGTTGCATCACTGCAGATTTCCTTTCCATAAAGCACTACTGGAAGAGCAGTGGGTTGTTAATTTTTATTTTTCAGAAGGAAATGTTCTCTAAGAAGGAACCCCTGACTGAAAAGAATATAAGAAAAAATATGAGGAGCTACTGGTGGTGTAATTTTCAATTTAAACTCAGGAGTATTTTATATAATTGGGAATCTCTTGGTTTCTACATGCTGTGCACTGGGTCCAGTGACACAAGCCCTGTAACTAGTACTCCCATGTCCTTTCCGTCCCTGTGCTGCTTGCAGGGCAGCAGAACCCAAGCCCTTGGATAGTTAGGCCTGACACAGTTGCTTGGCAAATATGTGTAGCAGTTTAAAGTGTTATACACAGGCTGTATTTGAAGTACTTAGCTGCTTTCATTTGCAGTCTTGTGGCTTAGCTTAAACCCACCAGCATGGGTGGCATGGTTAAGTATTTCAAGCTAAAAAGACCTGAGGTGTATTCAGGCATTCAGTTCAGATGAGGCCAAGGGTTGGGTGGTTACATAGCTGGTGGTTGCTAACATCTTAGATTTCTGCTGATAAATTTGCCAGTGCCTCATGTCCTTTAATTGTAAATGCCAACAAACCTCACTTGCTGTACAGGCACAAGGTAGTGCTATTCAGGTTGGGTTGTAATGGCTCCTGAACTGTAGCTACACTGTATGAAGAGCTCACAGCCAATTTAGAGGTGACAAAACGCAGATTACTATCAACAGTGTAGACAGCCTGTGTTTCATGCCTTCAATTTAGAGCTCTTGCCATTACATAATTTCTTTTTAAGGGCATTTGTGGTTTATGTTAGCATAATCTATTTTCCACCTGAGTGTCCTTACCTTCACTGACACTGCTGTAGTTAACATGGAGGCTTTTGACCAACCATGGCTTGCCACTTTGATTTGAGATGAGACCATGAACACTGTAACACTTGGCTTCTAAAAGGTGTATTGTTATAAAGAGCACTGGCATTATTTCCATTTTATGGATGAGGAAAACTAATGGGTTGGGTAAAGAACAGGTTTACCAGTAGTCTAGTGCCAGAGCCAAGTACTTACATGTTTATGTATAAGTATATATATATTGGTGAGAGGCAAGCCTTTGCTTTCTACTGACTTAACCATTTGAATGCGGGTGGTTTTCATGGGTTATACGATGAGGAGTAGCTACCAGGGAAGCCCCGTGGGCTGCTGGCTAAAACATTGGGCTGAGCTCCAAAATACATTCTATTCCCAGCTCAGATATTTTAAATTGTAAAAGGAATTCTTCCTAGACTTAGGATACCTCACAGCCTCATAAACCTGTTTACTTGTATAGAGTCTGGTTTTAAATGCACCATGCAATTATTTGGTGCTGAGAAAGAAAACAGTGTTTTCACTTGCTACTGTCCACAAATGCAGTGTTTTCAGGTCAATCAATAAAGCTCTGGGCTTCCTGTCAGACAAAATAATGACCTCTGCTCACCGTTGACAAATCTTTCCTACCTTTTTATGCAATATATTTTCTCAAAATATTAATTTTACTGGTAAAACACTTTCCTTTTACAGCATAGAATTTGAACTTCTTATTCTCTTTTCCTCTAAGGCCATTTTACACTTTTCTAGCAAAGCAGAGGCATAAAGTATCTTTATGTTACTCATTAAGGTCCTATATATTATTCATCAGTGGCTAGAGTAGATTTGTAAAATTACATTTAGCTATCTTCTCAACACAATATCCACGAGTCTTTTCTGTAATATTGTCAGAACCAGAGGTCATTGTGTTGGAATGATCCAAAGGCAGACTTGCATCCCCTGTAAGTATGCCAGGCAAGGGTTAAGCTAACTAACTCAGGCATCAATAGTAATCTAGCTATGCCACCACTTCAAAATATTAACAGTGTGTCAGAAGGGGAGTTTAGCAGGGCTCTGTAATGGACAGTTTTCCCCACTGAAATTGCTAATTCAGAGCAGCAACAGTGTTTGCTGGTAGCTCCTAACTTGAACTCTAGCAAGCAGGCAGTCTGGCTTACTTTTAGCTCTTTAGTCCATTTTGGTTCCCCCCAGAGAGTCTCCAAGGATTTCACTCTGTGGGAAAATGAAAACTATTTTTTTTCCCTATTTTTTCTTTTAACATGGTTGCAGTTTCAGTCAAGACAGGGGCCTTAAATCAGTTCTTCTGCAGAATGGAAATTGAACTGCTAATGCACCTCTGACTGGGAGGGTTTTGTTATGAAACATGTTAGGACTTTGATATCTCATAAAAGGTACTTCCCCAAGGTACAAGGACAGGCAGGGGCTGTTGTGTTGGCAGATGTTCCTAGCGTGTCATGGCTGAGGCATGCACTGCAACCCTGGTGGAATCACAGCCGCCAGAAGCCCTCACTGCAGCCATCCTGAAGTTCTGCTCCCATAGCTTTCCTTGGGAGCTCTGCTGTTGACTTCAGCCAGGGCAGTTTTTCACAACCAAATTTTATTTAGGTGTCAAAAATGCCCTTTTCCTTTCAAATATCTATGTTCACCTCCACTTGTTAGCATGCAGGAAATCATCCAAATTAATATAATGACATGCTAGTACTTACCTCACTTTTGATTCAGTCACTTAAAACTCACTCATACAATTCTGGATGTTTCTTGTGAGGGGAAATACATCACTGAGCAGGTTCCTGGGATTTTCGGCTTGCTTAGTCATTTTCTGTGCTAGCTCTCTGGGACTAAAAGGCTTGTTCACCAATCCACAGCAAACGCTGGTGCTGTAACTTTGGGATATAGAGACAACTATCTCTTTCCTCAAGCATTGTCCAGTGCAGATACTAACCAAATGATTGTATGAGTGTGAAAGGCAGAGTGCCCTAGAGCAGTGGTAGGTGCAGGTGGACTCCCCTGAAGGGCTCCCCGTCCTGTTGGAATTGAGAACCAATAAAACCCACTAAGTTCCAGGTTCACTGTGTTTGCCTGAGGCAGACCTATGCCATTCATACAAGCAGCTTAGGACAATGAGCACTGCTGTTCCTCCACAGAGCCCCACCCTGCATATTGCTTTTGGTTCTTCTCTGCGTTTTTGAAGAGGGTAGTGTAAAATAGTGTAAAGGCAGGCCTGTTGTTGTCTCTTTGTGTGCTGTTCTTATCAACTGGGTTACCTTAGCAACTGGGCTGTATCTGACTTTATGAGCTACTAGATTTGTTTCTTCCCCTTCAGGAGTCAAAGGAAAAGCCAGGTAATGTTTAAACTAGTCAGAGGCACACTGTCTACCACTGTATTGGTTTGGCCCATAAAACTATTGACTGCTGTTGGAATGAGGACAAGCAAGATTCTTACCCTGCCAAAGTCATGAAAGAGATCTACCTCCAGCTTTGCTTCTGACTTGCTTTAGCCTTTCTCTGCCACACATCCAGAGAGTACAGGGGCGTAGCATGAGCACCACATATTTGTAGTAAGACATGTATAAGCAACTTCTCAATAAACAGTCTGATGGCTGAAACTGAAAATGCAGGTCCCCTGGTAAGAGTGCATCAGCCATGAATGACTCACATTCTACTAAAATCTACAAACCAGCACTTAAGATAGGCGTAGGCTATGTGCTAGCTCTGAGCATGGGGAAATCTTCCACCCCAGAGCTCTGTTAAGGATGGTAGTTTGGTTGGTTTGTGTGCGGAGGGAGGCTGGAGGGGAAGCAGAATCAAGGATTCTCCTCCCTCTTGAAGAACTTACTCACTTCTCATAAGCTTGCGTGGGAAGGGAAAAGACAGAAGGGGTTATTTGAGTGAATATTTCCACCAAAAAAAGTGCGAATCAACTGATGTGGCTTTTTTTTTTTTCCACTTTGGACTTGAGCTGGAAAGCTTCTTT